GACTCCGATACCCACAATGGGTTGTCGATAAGTAAATAAATAAACTTTCAAACTAAACTTTCAAACAGTAAATATGATCAGTTTACGGATAATATATAAAAGGAGCACAATAATCACACAGAGCTAAGACGAAATAATTACTTCCTTATTGTTGTTTTGGGGCTTGCATGGGAAGGGGGAGGGGAGTGGGGGTGGCAATAGCAGCCCATCTAACCAAAATATAAAGAATAATAAAGGGGAGATCGACCCCACCCTAAATACGAAGCCGTTTTTTTTTTCTCCAGTTTTCTTGTGTGTGTGTGTGTAGATATCGACGCTGTATACCCAACTAGCTGCTCAAAAGAAAAGAAAAAAAAAATAAGATAAAAAAATATACAAAAAAAACCCCTAGAAAATTACTATTCTGCATTTGGAGGGGTGCATGGTGGGGGCGGTGTGTGAGGCTATTAATGATATCATTCATAGTCTCTTTTTGATCTGTGACAGTGTGGCTGTCAAAATATTTAATTGGTATTGCAATTTGGCACACATTGGCCGACAACCACACACACACACGAAAGCACGCACACACAAAAACATGCCCCCATTTTCCACATTTTTGTTTTTAAAAAATCTGTAAATTTCTATTTGTAAATATGATCTAGAATCCCTAATAAATGTTAGGCCTACATTTTTTTTTTTTTTTGGGGGGGGGGGGAGGGGGGGGGCAACTGAGTCTTAATAAAATAGTATGGGTTGAGAGGCTCCATACACCCCATTGGTGACAAATCTGAGTACCCCACCCCCTCCCCCTAAATAAATGAGTTTGCAAACAAAAGCAAGCATCTATGACACAATCGTAACATTCACAAATAGTACATGGCAATTCCACAATAAGCGACACACATATATCAACTTTGCAAATCACTGAATAAATGTATAATTCATTTATTACATTCAGAATGTTACAAATGTGGACGATCATATGGTTCAAACGCAGTTAACTTGTTATTGGTTGCACATGGTCTTTAAATGACTGAAATAATCAATATCTAGCCCACATTACATCGGAATTGCTCAAGTACACAAAGTGCACATATACATATTAATTGAATTCATACACAATTGACATTTAACCGGAATGTTAATATTTTGATTGACGTGCCTGTTCTGTATTATTTTCCGTATAACATTCAGGGTGTCCCCCAAAAATCCAGTTACTTCACATCTAATATACGCAAACTATGGATCACAATGGAAAGAGCAATCACAAAAGTTCATTCACTAGCTTTTGTTATAACACTTTTTTTGTTGCAAATTAAGGATGGTAAAAAGTAAATACCAGGCTGAATGAAGTTTTATAATTTTAGGGCGAGTTATTTCTGAATAACTGACCATAAAATCATAAAACTTCATTCAGCCAGGTATATTAAAAAAAACAATCAATGATTTTCCCATATTATACAAGAAGTGACCCCAGCCCTTTTTGTCATCCTATATTAAGCATGTACATTTATGAGATCAAAAACTGTTTTGCTAATAGTCTAGTCATAAAGGCTACAGCTCATACCAACTCGGAATTTATATTCTGAGTAATGTTGATCTATATCTTAACCATAATTTCTAAATTTATGATTATATTATTATGTAAATTGTAATTATTCCAAGAACCCTGTTATATCATATCAGGGTAGAAAAAACAAAGAAATTATCACATGAAAAGCACAGTGCTCTTAACTCCTTTCACAAGTTTTCAATTGCATGTATTTATTTGTGAGTAATTAACTATATTCAGCCCAAGGTATTTTGTCCATTCACAGGCCCAAAGAAGGGGGGGGGGACATATATTTGGCTTCACAGTGTCCCCCTCACTAACCCCTTTTATTATCTTCATATTTGGCATGCATGTAGAGTTCATAAAACTATACAATGTCACGGTGCCATGATACACAATAACCCTGTAAATTATTGCCTAAAATATACACACAAAAATCAAGGACAGTGCTTTTATAGGAACAGCACAATCTGAATTAACAGTGACAAAATTAAAAAAAGAGATGAAACCAGCAAATGATTTATCAACAGAAACTCACTTCATTGAACCTCAATTTTTATTTACGCGGACACACAATCTCATCTCAAAATGTATGACAGACTTTTCAACATCTTATAATCAGAACTTAGACTCAATACCAAAAACAAAAACAAAAAAACAACAAAAAAACGTAGTAAATTCATGCATATTTTAACCCTATTGTAACTGATGGAGGGGGGTTCGACCATTGATCATCAATGTTTTGCACAATAGTTATGCATTGTGCAATGGCCTTATCACACAATTTCACAAGTTGTTTTCTCAAAGTTTCAAGCAACTTTAACATGGTTTAAGACATGAACCTTTCAAACAATTTTGCCAAATAGTACATAGAATATCTGAACAAGATACATTAGTATTAAGTGATTTAGATTTTATATATATATATATATATATATATATCCTGTGAAGATGGAATACTTCAGTTGATCATGGCTACTGGCAGTTTCATGCAAGAGCAATCAATATATATATATTTTAGGATGCTTGCAAGCTGAGTTACTGAGTCCATTTTCTGCACAAAGTACAGTAGCATGGCATAACAATCAAGTTACATCAATTAATGAATTAACCCCAATGCACATGCCCATGAACGGTGAGTAGCTCAACTGAATAATATAAACATAACATTTAACACAAATCTGATTATCTAATCTTCGAGATTACAGATCTCATCTAGGATTGGCTCTAATTTCTGTACGTCGCCTTTTAAACCCAATACGAACCAGCAGCCTTGTATAGCACCACCTCAATTCCTCAACTACTCAAATCTGGCCCGGTTACTAATCCATAATGCAACATTCTGAGCAGTGTAGTCTTATGATATAGGCCCTCTAATTCACTACTCAATGCATGCATACCGTAATTATTATGTTACTAAGTAGCAAAACAAGTACTTATTTTCTCACAATGTTTCAGTTTCCCTGTAATAGGGATAACACCATGTTGCACTGTTGCAGTGCTGTCAGAGGTCACATGGTGAGTTCAAAGGTCGTTTGAGGTCATATGTTAAAATTTACCTGCAAGACTCTCTTGTGGCAAGAAATATTGGAGTCATCAACAAGCTTAAAAGCTTTCTTCCAGCACAGGCACTATCCATGTGGTATTGTGCAATAAATTTACCATATCTTAATTATGAGATTCTGGCATGGGAAATGCCTCTCACACGAGACTCAACAAAGTCATTCTACTTCAGAAAAAAGTACTGAGAATGATATGCAATAAGCCCTTTAGAGCTCATACGGATGAATAGTTTCGTCAGAAACGTATCCTTAAAGTCAGTGACCTCTACAACTATTCCATTCATTTATCAGCTAGATACAGATAGTATACCTTATGTCCTACAAAATAAAATTTATGAGAAATAATACTTTGCATTCCTATAATACTAGACAATCAAATGACTATCACTTAATACCTAAAAGCAGAACAGTATTTTCTAGCAAAACTGTATTTTTCACAGGAACCAAAATCTGAACCGATTTAGAATACTCATCAAAAAATTTCTTCTGAATTCTTATCGATTTAATCAAATATCTCGTGAACTTTATACTTATCCACGGTAGTGTTGATTATTTTAAAGTCAATATCTACATAATTTTGTATATAGTTTATATACATTCATGTTACAATGTTTATATCTATATAAATTTATAGAATTTTGCTGATTATTTTGCTAAATTTATATCATATTACCCTTGTATAAAATCTCGATAGGGGGTCTACATCTTACAAGCTATGCTTTTCAGTAGGCCCCTCCACATTTTTTCATTTTATTGGTACGTTTCAAATCTGCATATGTTATGCAGTTGATGTATTTTTTTCAATGGAAATGTTTTATTATGAAATGTACTTTGATGATTTGTGGAATATGAATATATGAATAAATAAATAAATCAAAATAAATAACTCTGCACATGTTGCTGCAATGGCAAACAAAATTTAGGATATATTCGTGCCTTCAGAGGTCACATGGTGAAGTCATAGGTCATTTCAGGTAAAACGTTTAAAGTTTACCTGTATGACTCTCATATACAATTCTCATGGATGGCAAGGGAGATCGCGATATTTCTAGTCATTTTCACAAGTGGTCGAGACACAACATCGCTAATGCCTTGTTATTAGGTAAGGTTCATTAGCATTTAAACCTTTTTATTTTTATTTTTTTTTATGGATGTTGATTATCATGAAAGTGAGACTAAAAAGGGAAAAAGTATCACAAAATCAGGCAATTGTTAGCAAATAAGAAATAGCTTTCAAGGTGGTAATTTGTTTGCAAAGATATGACATCAGCAGAATTGAAAAACAAAAGTCATAACTATCCCAAATATAGTCCAAATAATACTTTTTTGGGACACATCCAGTGCATAATGACAGCTTAGGTGACTTACCAAAAGATAAAGCTGCGGCCCACTGCGGGAAAACCGCAAAACAGCATTTTATACCGGATGTACTAATCCCCTCCTAAGTCTTTGGAAGAATTATAGAGGATCGGTATATCTGGCATATAATCCCGCTGTGCCTTATTCATGCAGCGGGCCACGGCTTCTGGTATATAATCTTCTGGTAATTCGCCTGAAGATGAAGGTGTTTGGTTGAGCATACTCAATTATTTTGCACTATGTGTCTTCCCTAAAGATTGGCACATAGTCACTGCATGTCCAAGGGAATGTGGTGCAGCAACATGCTTTTTCTTGGATGGAATTATGGCTGATGAAGATGGTCTAGAAAAGGCTTGCTTTTTCATGGCAGACTGTTTGGTTGGACGTCCCTTATTTAGTTTCCTCCTCCCTCCGAGTTTCAGTCGACGGCGTGATATGGCTGAGGGCTGAACAGGGATGCTGGGGCCAGATGACTGTAGCAGTCCACCCGAGACTCCTGCCTTCGACTTTACCTTCCTTTTTAGCAAGATTTACTCCGCTATACCTGCCAAACATTCGGACTGCTGATACAAGGGCACTGTCTGTTTTTAAACGACCATATGCTCTGAGCATAGCCTTGTACGATTCTACGTAGGTGGTTGGATCTTGTTTTAGTTTTTCCTCCATGTCCACAAACATATGATGGACATCCTCCAAAATCCTGTTGTCTCTCTGTGGAGCTGAAAACAAAAAGCAAGAAAAATTACCTAGTAAGACAAAATCTCACATAACAGTTCTTTTTGGTTACATACTCACTATCAGTTAACTAGCATTTTACCCTTTCCTTCATTAATTTAAAGTGACTGGCCACTGTCAAAGAAGTATCTACAAACAACATGTAAATACAACTCAATTCTATTTTGCTTGAGTTTTGTTTCAATTATAATTTTTCTCTGTAAACATGTTAGCCCTTAAATGTTATAATAACAAATTAACAATGGTAAGAAATATGTCCAAAAACATATAACATAAGAGGAGCACACATCGTCAACTTTTGTTGATGGCAGTATCCACTTGTTTACTACTGTAAGCAGGGAGTGCTGAAATGTGCGCCTTGGCGACATTCATTTACAAACTAGATATAAAATGGAATATGCTGAAAATGAAATAAAACTGTCTTATACTTACTTGTTTGCTACATCTGTATCCAATCATTAATAGACAAGGTGTGAGTTAACAGATGGAAGAAAAATAAAAAAAAACAAACAGAAGAATTTGTTATGTCATGAACATTAATAATCAAGATAAGACCCCCCCCCCCCCCCCCCCTCAAGGAAAGATGTTGAATTGGCATAACCTGACCTAACATAATAGTACCACATACCCTGGATTTGTTTTTTATTCCAAAATATATACAAGAATCTCTGGAAAAAATAAAAACCAAAAGAAGTATGGTCCTCATTTTGGCTTATCTATTTTTATCATGCACTTGTTAAGGTAGGGCAAGCAGCAAATATGGAATTACTCCCGAGTGAAAAAAAAAAATTGTAATTGTCAACCATATTTTTCAGTTGGCTGTTATGCCAATACAATTTTTTTTTTTTTTTTTTTTTTTTGGGGGGGGGGGTGGTTGGTCTGACATGCAACATGCACATTTTCTGAAAAATGTACCATGAACATAATAATTTATAAAATGCAACTTCTATTCAATATATTTTATCATTAATAGTAATAATTAACAGTAACATATAGATTCTCTGCAACATACATCATCATGAATATTAATAACTATAACATGCAAATTAGATTCAACAACTGTTATCATGAATATTAATAATTAACAATAAAATGCAACATGTATCATCAGGGATAAACAATAATGTAAATTCTCAGGAAATCAGGTGCGGACACAGGGTTGAACAAGGACTGGGGGGGGGGGGAGGCACAATTGGCTCCCTACTGCATCCGCACCTGTGTAATATGCAAATTTTCTGTAGCATGCAAATGTAGCCATTATTATGAAACAAATTTGATTTATTGCAATGTTGTAAGATATTGAAATGCCAAGAAAAACAAAAATTAACTCTAACCACATGGAGGGGGGGGGGGGGCCCCATCAACATTTTCCACGACCATTCTGACGCGCGAAATTTTGAACGCGGCGCTCGCTGACTTTTTACTTTCAAAAAAACATTTTCACGAAAACGGGCATACACCCTGTACCGTTACGACGTTGCACGATTTAAACAAATATCCGTCAAACCAAAAACAGCTCATTGGCTAAAATTATTTTATTTCAGCATAATTATGCTTCGAAAAGTTTCTACAATAAATTTTGCCCCAAAACAAACAAAAACAAAAGGTCGCGAAAGAAGATATACATAAGAAATTAATTTTGATACCAGGAATTTTCTTCAAGTATAATTTTTTGGAATGCTACAAAGAATATTTACACCAAAAATTAGAATTCTATGAGCTTTATTTAGTGATTTAGAGCAAAAAGTATGATTTCGTGCATAAATTACATTAATTAACATAAAATAAAAAGACATTATTTCGGAAAGACTAACTTTACATTCTTGTAGATCACATCGCACACTACTATCATGCAAATTTTCGTGGAGATTGCACGATTGGCGGTTGAGATCTGAAGGGGGGCAAAAAATGCCCCCTCCCCCCCCCCCCCCCCCCCCCCTCCATGGACTCAAGTGAACAAAAAAAAAATGGGATGAGGGTTAAGCGTAAATGGAAAAATAGAACGATCTTATAATGCATGCAGTAAAAAATGAAAGTCATTGATTACATTTGGTGGAGTAATGTCTATGCATTACGTTGGGCAAACTGGTTATGTAGATCTCTCTGGGCATGCAGGCTTTCTAGCCTGACTAGTTGAGGATCTTCGATTGAAGCATGGTCATCAAGATGGCTACTAGACATTGGCTCATCTACATCAGGCTCGGGCACATCCTCAGCTGAGGGCTCAGATGACTGGAGAGGGCCAAGCCATCCTGATGGCACATTGCTTGTTGCTGAAATTCAATAATTATATATCACTACCCAATTTAGAAAACATTACATTGGACAACAAATGCACTGCATACTGTCTTTAAAGTACAGTATTCTTCACAGGAGAGAACAACATCTACAATTCAGGAAGTTATTATTTGATTATTTGCTCAGGCTTGGTTTTTTCTATGTTCATTGTTAACCAAATGTAAGACATGACATGGTAGATCTCTTTCTGGTTCTTTTCAACCCTGTAAATACATCTTGTACACCCAATACTCTCTGAATATGAAAAAAAAAAACCAAAGTGGTTCGCGAACCACAGGGGCCCGTTCCTAGAAACCGTCATAAGTCTAACTTCTTGACTAAATCAGCGTTGGTGAGCAACTTGTCCGCTACGTGTTTCACCAAGCCCTCTTTGCCAAGATCAACGACAACATCCTGACTAAGGAGTTATGACACCTCTGACACCGTCGTATCTCTGTCATAACTATTTAGTCGATGGGCAGCGCCATCACATGTCATTTATTGGCTAGAGTATGGCTGGCACAAAAGGACAATAAATCCTCCATCTATGATTTTTCTACACATTCACTTAAACAGTGGGTTGTCGTTTTTTGTATTTGATAATCTGATAAAAATATGCCATGTTTGTATTTAAGGATATCCCCACATAAATAAACTGATTTTACGCCTTTATTTCCACATTGTAAACTTGTCGAAGGGATATGTATTTTGCCACGGCAGGCAAGCCATAGTTTGAAGTGTATTCTTTAGTTTTCAGACCCATATTGCTTTCGAGATAAATTCTATCTTCAAATGTGTAAAATGAATAGTTTAAAACATGTTTTTTTAACGTTTGGAATGTTGAAGTTTTGTCATTTGATTATTCAACTGACACCCAAAACATTGGACACAAACTTCATTACATCGTATTTTTCTAAGAATAATATATTGGTGTATTTTTATAAACTATCAAACGAAAATATCCGGGGGTTACCCATCTCAAGAACAAAACTGATTCACCGGTCATGTAATGAAATACTCACAATTATATTTTACAAGTATTTTTATTGTATAATCTACACAAATTTGGTAGTATATTGCATCTCTTATTTCTTGGTATCATTTTCAATCTTTTTTTATTACTAATTCATTTAAATAATTGCATTTCCCCTAATATTAATTTTGTAATAATCTGGTGGTATTGCGACTAAACGGACTAAGGCTAAGTCTCGGCTCCTATTCTCGCCGATAGTATCGATCTCACGAGATACTAGCTAGTAAGCTCTTCGTGAAACGGTTTAGGAAGATCAGAGACATCTCCGTAGTTGGCGGATAAAGTTATGACTGTCTTGTCGTTGGTTTCTAGGAACGAGCCCCAGGTCTCGCCTGATTTTGCGATCAATAAAACAAGGAATATGACCTTTTTACCCCTTGATAACCTTTGACATCATCATCTCTCTCTCTCTCTCTCTCTCTCTTGGTTGATCCCTCCACTTTCTTTGGAGATTTCTTGGGTGATTTCATCGTCTTACACTATAGTACAGTTACACTACAAAAAAATCCACATGTGGGACTAGTCTACATCTATCTACTATCTGTGAGACGTATGATAAAACGTTTTTTTTATTTTAAATTTATCATTTACATACCTGCAATGGATCAGGAAGCGTTGTTTGCGTAATGTCTTCCATGGCAGATTATGACATAAATCAACCATTAATGAAATATAACGTCAAGAATGCGAGAATAACCTGGCAAGTTCAGATCAGGCGCGCTGTTCATGAAGTACTAGTCTTTGCTGCAGCCCGGTTTTACTCACTTATCGTGAAAATGACGGAACTACAGTGTAAAACGTAAAGTCGCTGCCCGGACACGTCGGGGCGCGATGAATAGAACAGTCGCGTCCCAAGAGACGCATTGAGGCGCAAAGGGGCGCGAAGGGGCGCAATAGTCACCCTCCCCTGATTCTTGCATATGAAAAGAAACTGTCTATTGTTGGTATAAACCCGCTCTATTCTTCTTGCGCCCTTTTGCGCCCTTTTGCGCCCCACCAGGCGATGGAAGATTATCTCTCCTGCCATTGTTCTCGCTCGTGATGCGCGGTACAGCTTAAACCTGATATACAGAAAGTATTTGTCGGCCAAAGCCTGTCTTCCCCTCCTCCGGTTTTCGTTCTGATAAACATTCCATTGTTTGTAAACAAAATGATGTATTCTTCTCGCGCCGTTTTGCGTCGTAACGGGCGGGTTATTATCTTTCCAATCATTGTGGCGAAGCTTTGCGATGTACGTCTTTGTTTTGGGGGGCAATCAACATACTCGTTCATCTCGATCAGAATAAATTATGATTTATTGTTGTTGGGTTAAATACGCCTCCTCTTAATTTTTGTGACGACTGTAGGAAATGTGAAATAAAGATGACTATGTACGATTAATGGTTGTTTAATTGCAAGCTTAATTGTTCCCAACAACAAAAAATAAAAGACGAATGATGTGAATGACTACATGTATGCGGTTATAGTCGGCAAATTGATTACTGTTTTGGTCGCTTGTGTATGTTTGTAATTTGAATGATTATCAACATATTTGTATAATTCCCATGTCGCGATATGATTCTAGCGTCGTAATAATGGACAAAGGAATTATCCTTCTCTCCCGGCATTCATATTCACGCTACGCGTTGCACATCGCCACAGCCTGAGCTTGGAAGAATTTATATTTTGTCAGTCAAATCCTGTTTTTTGTTCTCCTCCCATGACTTGGTTCTAATAAATTGAAGGTTTGCTTATTAGGGATAAGAAGGATAACATCAAACAAACGATCTACTCAAGATGACGCTCTTTTCATTTCACCTCGCTGTTTGATAAAGTAGAGTTCTACGGAGCGAATACAAAAGAAAAGTTCGCTCTAAGGCCAAATAAAAAAATTAAAAAATGTTTTATTAGCGTCCTGTTTTTTCGAAAAATAGGAAGGAGGAGGCCCTCTTTTTTTTCTTTCAAAGTGGCCGCTCAAAATGGCCGCTCGGTACATTTTTCCTGACAGTCGGGCTAATTTTTAAGATGGCCGCCGACATTTTTTAATTTTGTTTAAAAATCAGAAATAGATCCATTTAAGCAGTCTTTTTCATGTTTTTTTCTTTAAAACAAAATAAAACATTATAAAAAAAAAAATTTTAAAATAAATAAATAAATAAAAAATTCCAAAAAAATAAAAATAAATAGGAGGCGGCCCCCCAAAAGGAAGCGGGCGGGGACGCTAAACATGTATATTTTGTTAAGTGGCCTCAGGGAAAAAACATAAAATGCCGTGGCAGGCTTTCACGCCCGAGATTTGCCTTCGAAAATTGCCCGTCCAAAAGGCGTTTTAAATCATAATAATTCCATAGCTCTTTTTAAAAGTGGAATAAATAAAAAAAAAGAGTCCGGGAACTATATCGAGATTACAAAACATGTGTGTCATGAAGATGTAAAAAAATGCGTAGCCTGATGGTGATAAAGTTGAGCAGCAATTGGAAATGCAATACAAAACATTTATCAGTTCATGGTGATAATTTATCATTCGACTTCTACTTTGCGCTATATGTACTAAATGATCGCAAAACGGGCAGGGACACAAATACAAACATTGATTTCTGCTCTAACATTCGAATCATTTATTCGTAGATTTGTATAATTAAGTGGCGAAAGTGAAATTTTGAAATCATAATGCACATATACAAAAACATACCAAACATGTTTTGATTCTTATTCTTAAAAAAAACGGCAAATTTTAAAAGATATTTTTAAAAGGAGGGAGGCGCTATAGCCCAGTGGTAGAGCAGAGCAGCTCGTAACCGGGAGCTCCCTGGTTAGAAACCAATGGTAAGGCATAACTCAACATTACATTTCGTTCGGAGAGGTCTTAAACCCGCCGGTCCCCTGTTTGCCTAATTCAGAGCATACACATGTTTCATATAGCAGTCAGGAAAAAAAAGCGAACGGTACAGGAAGCTACCTTTTATGGATAGGCCTAAATTGAAGGTTTGACTTAACTAGGGAGAAGAAGGATAACATCAAACAATAGATCTACTCATGATGACGCTCTTTTCATTTCACCTCACTGTAAGATAAAGTAGAGCTCTATGGAGCGAATACAAAAGAAAAGTTCGCTCTAAAGGTAAAAACATAGAATGCCGTGGTAGGATTTCACGTGGCGGGCAATGCCATTGTTTGATCGCTATAATTGTCCGACTTGCTATAGATTCTTGTTTAGCTACACATTAAAGCTGCGTATTGTGTGTGTGTGTGTGTGTGTGTGTGTGTGAGGGAGGAGGGGGGCGGCGAAGTGAACAGCCGGACAAAAATGGCAGAGGCCCATCAGGGGGGCTCCACTCGCTAGCTAGTTATAAGGACCGCTATTCATTGGACAACTATTCATGAAGACCGCTATTCGTAATTTGAGAACATGATGGTCATTATGTACAATGGTCATGAATTTGTAATACGACATCCCCCTCCCCAAAACTAAATAAATAAATAGAAAACATGAATAGATTAATAAACTTAAGTAATGATACAATAACAAATAATGCCCGGTAATTGGGAATAGCCGCCTATGAGCGGAACAATGGGCGCAACAACTGCTCAAAGCTGCTCAAAGAGCTGTCTTTTGTCATTGCGTTGCAATAACAAAGTGCTTGTAAAAGTTACATGTACTATAATATCCGTATGCTATATAACACCCAGTGTGAACATGACGTGTTCAGGCCTTATAACTATATACAGTGCACGTGAAAAAAAAAGAAGACTTTACTAGCGCTAGCTAACAAATATGAAACGTCAAAACGTCACGAACAATTGACGACAACAAATTGTTACGACAAATGCCACCACCAATACAGTTTCTTCGCGAAGAAATATTCGATCGAATTTCATGTTTGGAACAGATAGGCGATTTCGAATTGTTCTATCTACCGAAACGTTTTGATAATGCAGGCTCCCGACAATACGACTATCATTTTTGTAATATCTTTAATTTGCAGATGTTTGTTTGTTTCGTATGACATATTTATAAACGCCCTATAATCTTATTTCAAGCAGAATCTTTTAATCTCTTTGATTATAAGTATCATTTTTAAATCACGGGTTTTGAAATACAATAGCTGAATTTGCGAAGATTTAGAGAACCTACGTTTCTATTCTTTAAATCGATCTTGGATGAGAAAGAACAGATTGATGATATAGATATATGACCTATTTTTATCGGATGACAGAACAAAATAAATGTAACATGAAACAAATAATGTGTCAAAACAAACAGAAGGAATACAATATTATACAATATATTATACATATCGTTTTTGTTTTGTTCGTGAACAAATTAATATAATACAAGTATTGAACACATTAATGAACAGAAATGAACAATCATGCCAACGTCAATGCCTACACAACTTCGATGTTTGAGAGGGGAATAAACAATCAGAACAACAATCTAAATCAATGTCTTGTACGTAAAATAATAATAAAACATATCAGTAGCCAAAGTGAACATTTTAGAGTCAAATCTTTTAAGACGAGAGCGGACACACACGCGGGGATTACATGAATAACTAATGCGTAGGAACGGGCGCGAAAGCTTTTCAAAGTTTAAGCTCCCATTCACAAATTCACAATCCACAAAAAGCGCTTCGCCGTTAAGCGGACCGCCCCCCCCCCCCCCCCACCCCCCAATGAGTGTTATGTTGGGTACGCATATGCATTTTCCCTCCTTTTGAAAACAGTCCCCTAAGTCCGGTGTGCAAAGTCAATACGGGCCGGATTTGTGTGTACTAGACGAGCCGGACTTTGGTGCGTGAAAAGTACCCCTTTACCAGACAGTAACAATGAGTCACCAAACAATAGCCAGATTTGATATTCATATTGTGAGCAAGTGCTTAGTTATATCGGGATTCCCTGGTGATATTGAAGGCGTGGGCTAATATCTGTTTGCCCAGTATTTCTCCCTGATTGTTTGACCAACATTAAATTGCTATTGTCCAGCTGACTTTTCTATAGGCTTTTCTACCCTCAGCGCTAAAGGGATTGCTGAAAATTTCAACACTATTTGTGTTTCTTGCTGACCCAGTAGAAGAATAATAAGGGCTAGCCCCCCCCCCCCCCCCAAAAAAAAAAAAAAATAAATAAATAAATAAAAAATAAATAAAAATAAATAAATAAATAAAATGGCCCAAAACAACGCAATCATTATTAATTCCGTTTACTACTTGATACCAACACGTGCATGATGGATCCCCCGGATGGATCCTTATTTAGATAGTGAGACAGTTCTGTTACGAGAAGCAATTCAACGAATTACCATGGCTTGAATTTGTTCTAGAACGCACTACGCTCTTTCGATACCACGTGGCCCCAATTCAGCACAATATATATACGTATTTTAGTTCTTCTCAACAATGACCTAGATCTAAAACTGGCCGCGGATGTAATCCCCCCCCCCCCCCCTTCTTCGCAAAGAAATGTTCGATAAAATTCTTTGGAACAGAATCATAAACTAATTTCTTCTTGAGATATGTTCGAGGTGAAATTTCAAACATCATTTCCTGGTAACTCGCTCTTCTTTTTTAATGCATGCTCTATTCTTACGATTAAGGCATAATTTAATATGTTGATTTGCAATTGATAATCTCCCTGGGAGTTTTGCAAAATTCCCGATGATACGGGTACAGTGTATTTAATTTTGTTCGTAACATTAGTGTTTTGCTAAGAAAGAACATTCTGAAAATGAGCGTCTTCCTTTTAACGAAACATATTGATGATGTTCCCGACAATACGGATATCATTTGCATTAAAAAAAATCGTAATACAGATAAAACGCTTTTTAAATCCAAT